ATGAAATCTTTTTCTTCAATTTAATGCGTATTTAGTGTCCTAACATGTAATTGATTATCAGAAAAAGGATGTGGAGGTCTATTGAGAAAAACACTAAAAGAAAAACTTTTTGAAATAGAATGCGTTGCTACAAAAAGCCTATAATGGATGGATAGAGTGAAAGAAAGAAAAATATTTTACAGTGTAAATGATATATCAGTCACTTTAAGCAAAATGACTTTTCTGAATGTCAGTCCCTTGGAGTGTTGTGTTTATTTGTTTTTCTTTTCATCTTTACCACTATTTTAAAGTTTATAAGGAGAAACTCATTGCCATTGAGTCGATTCCAACACATACTGTGCTTCTAGGACAGAGTAGACGTGCTCCAAAGAGTTTCCAAGGCTGTAAATCCTTAGGAAAGCAGACTGCCAATCTTTTTCCCATAGTGGCTGGTGGTTTTGAACCACTGATCTTTTGGTTGACAGCTGAGCGCTTAACCATAGCACCACCATGGCTCCTTTTTTGTAAAGAGAGTACCTCATTAAATAAAGCATAGGCTTTAAAACCTATCTTAGAGGATTCTTAAAACAGATTAAGATTGATATATTGTAATATTATAATTAATGTGTATATTCAACAAATGATTAATGTACTGCGTGCTGAGGATATACTGGTGAAGCGAACGTGAAAGTTTCTGGTCTTCGGCAGTTTGGCATTCAAATTGAAAAATATGGGTTAAAATTACTCAACTTAAGCTTTAACAGTCTTTCAGATTTAAAATAGAAACTGACTACGCATGTGTATAATGTCTGGGATAGAAGAGGTACTTAGCTCTAATCTTTTGTTTGTCTTATTTTTTTTATTTATAGCGTGCATTTCATATTTTTATATTTCTCAAGTATATGTAAGAATGGGTTAGAATGTTAATGTTCAGATTTTATGAAACTTTAAATTACACATACCTTCAGGATTAGTAAATGTTTGTGTCTTAAATACCTCACATCCAATTAAAGTTTGGGAGGAAAGTATTTAATCCTTTTGCAAATATGCTTGCTTGCTCACCATCAAATAATGTTTATTCATACAGATAAACACGTTAACTTGATGAAGTGAATGAGGTATTTTCTATAGATGATTTTACTGACAGGTTTATTTCTTCTGTCTCAGCAGGTATATTCCATGCTAGACATCAAATTTTCATCATACTGTTGTTTCTACAATGAGTTGCTTGTCTTGAACAGAGCTCTGTATGAAAGGAGTCCTTTCTTCCATCCTTTCGGACAAAAAGACTTTTAATGTACTGTTAATTTTTATAAGTGGATTTAGGTTCTTTTCATTTTTATTACAATTAGATAATGTATCCTGTGATGTATTTTCTATCCTTAAAAACATCAAGCCATGGAAGATACTCAGAAATATAAAAACCAGGGCAATTTCTATCTTTAGAGTTCTGAGATTGTCCAGGTCCCCAATTAGAGACATTATTACTAATAATGTCCTTACAACCTCAGAGATTAAATATGCATCCAAGTCAATAACAACAACAAAAAACATATGTAGGCCAAACCACAAAACTATTACCATTACACTGTATTTCAGTTACAGACCATCTGTGAAACTGAGTGGAGTCAAAGTTCAGCCTGCATCTTTGGTTGAAGACAAATAAGTAAACATGATAACTCAGTTCCTTAAGAACTGAATAGGATGAAAGCTCAACTATTCTCCCACCCTGGTTAAGACAGATAGGACCCTAGTTGGAGACAAATAAGCAAACATAATAATTCAGTTTCTTAAGAACTGAGTGGAACAAAAAGTCAGTTTACACATTCTTTCCATGTTGTCCCCCTAGAAACAGGTGATAAGCATGTTAATATGTCTCAGGAGACAACTTGAAAATTAACCTTGGCCCGCAGACATGCGCAGTGAGACAAACAGGAACAAAGTTGCTGGGAACTGACATTCTCCCCTCTGCCAAAGCCCCAATAAGCTGATGACAGGAAGCTGGTGTGACTCATCCTGTGCGCAAGCGCACTGCATTAAAAAACGACTGTCTATTTAAACTGAGGTGAAGGAAATTTCAGCCAATCGTCAGCTAATTCACACCCAAATTTCTGAAGTTTTTTATAGATGTGTATAATCCCCTCTCCTGAAACCTACAAACCTGTGACTCCATCTGGATTCAGGGAGTCAGATTTGGGTACGGGCCCCTGTCTCCTCGCATTGCCTCTTTGCAATAAATTATTTTCTCTCCTCTTAATCACTCGGTGCATAAACTGTTTCGGCCTGACTGCACACTGGGCAGGGACCCATTTTTGGTCCGATTTCATCTGTGTTAAGATTAACTTTTAAAGGAAAAGAAGTTGCTTTTGTTTATATTTGTGTTCTGAGAGAGTATGGTAATGGTTGTGATAGTGAGGTGGAAATGATTTAAATTTTGCTTCAAAAGGGAGGGTGATCCATCTATTTTTGTTGTGAGCAAAAATAAAAGTAATTAAGAATAGCAATTAGAAACTGAGAAGTAAACTTTGACGTAGGAATGAATCACTTGTATATTAACAACAACAAAAAAACATAGTACGTTATATGCATGTCTACTTAACGGTTATGTCTTGAGATGGCTGCCACTAAAACTGAGGTGGGTCTGGGGATCGACCCCATTTCTTCATTATCTGGATTGTTAGCTATGCTAAATAGTCTGTAAGGAGCTCTGCTGGCTCATTGCCTACAGCATTTAACTGCATACTAGAAGGTTGGAGATTCAGACCCACCAGCCGTTCTATAGAAGGAAGATGGGGCATTCTACTTGCATAAAGATTTACTGCATCAGAAACCCAAAAGAGGTCGCTAGGAGTTGGAATCGACTTGATGGCAGTGAGTTTAATATAGTCTCTGGAGTTAAAAGAATTTTCCAAGCTTAGAATTGATAGGACAAAAAAAAATCATAAATAATAGTTTTCAGTAAATAATTTTTAAATTTCTGTTTTAAAACAATATTCAGATATTAAAAGTGTGGAAAATATTTGAAACTGGTAAGTTTATTATTGAAAGAGTGCATGTGATGCTTTAAAAACAAGAAATGCAACAAAAACGTTTAAAGAATAGACCTGGATGACTCACAAAGGGCGGGGCATTCAATCACAGTTTTAAGAAAAAGGAGCTAAAACAGGCATAGAATGCAGACAATTGAAGAAAACTATGACTGGTTGAAAAAGAGAAGAGTAGTTCAACCATGCTTTGAAAGGGAAGGGTACATCCTAAAACCTAGCGAACAAATGGAGAAGGGACCAGGACAACTTACAAAAAGTATGAGTGGTTAAAAGAAAAAGAACCTTTGGTCGCATTTGTGATTAAAGCAGTGAATATTTAAGGTGGGATATTTGCTTCTAAAATTAGTGTCTGTCTTTGGTGTTGCTGTGGTTAAAACATTCAGCTGCTAACCAGATGGAGGTTCAAATCTACCAGCCACTCCTTGGGAGAAAGATGTGGCAGTCTGCTGCCCTAAAGTCATAAAGTCGTACAGCCTTGGAAACCCTAAGGGGCATTTTACCCTGTGCTTTGTGATCACTATGAGTCAGAATCAACGGCAATGGGTTTTGGGGGGGGGGGGGTTTGTTTAGGAGTGATCTGCAGTGCTAGCTGTAAGCAGTATGAACCCCATGCCTTTAGACAGTGTGAATCTGTACAACACACACGGAACACCTTTTTTCTTTAATACTTAAAACCAAAAAAAAATCCACTGCCATTGAGTCGATTCCGACTCATAGTGACCCCCATTTCTGAGGGTTTCTGAGGCAGCAGCTCTTTACGGAAGTCTTCCTCCTGCGGAATAGCTGGTGGGTTTGAACCACCAACCTTCTCTTTAGTAGTCAAATGTCTTAGGCACTGTGCTACCAGAGCTCCTTACCTAAAATAAAGCAAACCCTTAAATTTGATATGTGTAAATAAATACATTAACTAACATAAACTTCAAGCTCTGTGACGTGAAATTGCCTTAAAAGCCTATGTATTTTTTTTAAATGTTCATTCAGATGATCCTACAAAATTAAAAATACACACAGTAGATAAGTGACTGTGTATTATGTGAATATTAATACATTTTTTAAAGAGGATTTTATCAGGCAGACGTAATTGACTTGGGAATCCTACAAGTAAGTCTAGCAGATTCCAAGCTATGTTATAAAGCTGTAGTAAATAAAACAGTGATAGACAAATAGAGTAGTGAAGCAGGAAGGCAGTGTTCAGAATTGGACCCCCTTTTATACTTGGAAACTTAATGTATGGTAATGAATTGTAACAATGGCATTTACATCTTTGGAGCAGAATGAAGTATCCTTTCATTAATTTATCTGTTCAGAAAATGTTTATTGAGGACCTATTACATGGAAGTACTGTCCTAGCTACCAGGGATACATCTGCAGTCCAAGTGGGCTAAAACCCCAGTCATCACGGACTTTAAATTTTAGTTGGAATGCAGACAGATGGTAATAATAGAAGGTGTTTAAGTGCTGAAGAGGGAACTAGAACAGGGAAAAGTATGATTCCATTTTGGGGAAAAATGTTATATCCCCACTTTATAATTTATAGACAACTGCCATAGGTAGTTGACTTACTAAAATGCAAATGACCCAATAGGAAATTTGGCAGATGAACTTTGTGTGTGTGTGTGTGTGTGTATGTGTGTGTGTGTTAAAAAAAGTTTACGACTAAATGTTAAAGCGTTTGTACTAGTCAACCCAGAGCTTCTATAAATGTAGGAAAATGATTTATTCAGGTCACGGCCTATCTCAGGATACAATGTCACTGCCTATCCAACAACCAACTACTGTCCCGTTGAACTGCAACTCATGGCAGCCTGACGTGTGTTATAGTAGTCTGCTTCAGTGAAGATTTACAGCCTTAGAAATCCTATGGGGCAGTTCTCTGTCCTCTCGGGTCACAAGGCACAACACTTTAAGTATTCAGTCATTGAAAAGGCTGTTAAAATGAAATTGTTCAAAATCACCTTTTTCTTTTCTTTGTAGGTCGTTTGTATGCGATGCAAACTGGAATGAAGATTGATAGTAAAACTCCAGAATGTCGTAAATTTTTATCAAAACTAATGGATCAGTTAGAAGCTGTAAGTTAAGCGTTGATCATTTATTTTCTGACTAATGTTTAAAATGCCAGTTTATTTTAGTTGTATGTGAATGTATGTGTTGTGGTTTTAGTTCTTCCCTTGACAGCAATCTGCAGGATCGGTATAGCTGAGGAAAAGGAAAAGTTGGTTGTTAATTTACGTTACACTGCTAGGGGAGTAGGAGCTCTGATGGCGTAGTGCTTAAGGCCCTTGACTGCTAACCAGAAGGCTGGCGGTTCAAACCCACCAGCCACTCCTCGGAAGGAAAGTTGAGCAATCTATTTCCATAGGGATACCGCCTTGGAAACCCAAGGAGGGGTTGCTATGAATCCGGTCCGACTCAACAGCACATGACAACAGCTAGGGGAGTTGTAAGCAAAAATTAAGTAGGTTCAAATATTTTTATATCCTTAATCTTGTTCCATTTTACTATAGATGGCTCTACAGTCATCCTTTAATAAGTGACAAATCCTTTCTAACCTTCTCTCAAGCAGTCACTTGGATGATTGATTTAAGAGTTCTTAAATAGCTCTTGATAAAGGAATTGACTGTTTATTAAAGTGACAGGAAAATAACGCAGATTACTTGTCCTCTGATGTTTCTCCCTTTCTTAAACTCAAGTGAAGGTACTCTTATGGTCCGGACATTCTCCCTCCCTGCAAGAGTGTGCTGGTAGGTGACTTAGGCCCTCACCTTCTTGAACTGTGATGCACGGGGCACTGCAGAGGGGCCCATTCAGGACAAATTCAGTAGGTTGGATTGGTGTCACTGTGTCAGGAAGGCAGTGCCAGCCACAGTAGTTTTACTTCCTCATCAGAGCTCTGCTCACTGCTGCCTGTGCCCAGCCCTCCCATTTCTCTTTTAAGAAAGGTAAGGTCTAAACCCCAAAACTTGCTGATGTCAAGTTGATTCCAGCTAATAGCTACCCTCTAGGCCAGAGTAGAAGGCTCCAGAGGGTTTCCAAGGCTGTCAATCTTTACAAAAGCAGACAGCCATATCTTTCTCTTGTGGGGCTGCTGAATGGGTTTGAACCACTGACCTTTCAGTTAGCAGCTGAGCGATTAACCCCTGTTCGATCAGGGCTTCTCAGGTTAAGGTCTGTTGTTGTTGTTGTTGTTATGTGCCGTCAAGTCAGCCCTGACTCATAGCGACCCCTCCTTGGGTTTCCGAGGCAGTATCACTATGGAAGTAGGATTGCCCAACCTTCCTTCCGAGGAGTGGCTGGTGGGTTTGAACCACCAGCCTTCTGGTTAGCAGTCAAGTGCCTTAGCCACTACGCTACCAGAGCTCCCAGGTTAAGGTCTACTCCTCATTAATTTATTTCCTCCAAGGATGTTACATTAATACCTGTGGTTACTTTTCCTTGCTTATTTAGTGATGTGACCTGTTTAGGGGAGTGAAAAGCCTAAGTATTTGTTGGATCAGTTGCATTACCTTGCTTAGAGAGACATTTGGGAGCCCTGGTGGAGTAGTGCCTAAGACATTCACCTGTTAACCAGAAGGTTGGCAGTTCAAACCCACCAGCCACTCCAGGGAAGGAAGGCTGGGCAATTGACTTCCGTAAAGATTTACCACCTCAGAAACCTAATGGGGGTGTTGCTATGAATCAGAATCTGCTTGATGGCAATGAGTTTGGTGAGATGACTAAATGTTAAAGTGTTTATACTGGTCAACCCAGAGCTTCTATAAATGTAGGGAAGTGATTTATTCAGGTCATAGCCTATCTCAAGATACAATGGCACTGCCCAGTTCTGTCAAGCAGCCATGGCTATAGAGTTCTAACTTGGTGTAGGTCTCAAGCCTACTGGCTCAGGGCCCTTGTGTCCTATTACTGTTGACCACCGAAGGTGGGCTTGGTGGCATCATGGCATCACTGACAGAAACTCCGCTGCCCTTGGAACCTCTCTGGCCCTATACTTCTGCAGATGCAGGATAAATTCAATTATTCTTTTTTTGGGAGGTGAGAGTGGTGGTAGGAGGGGGAATATGTTTCACAAATGACAATAGGTTCCAACTCTAACACATTTTAAAAAGGATATCTCTTTATTATTTTCATAGTATAGTAATAACAGCCAAGCTAATTTGGTAAGACAATGCTCAGACAGTTCTTTATTGTGATTGTTGTTAAGTGCCTTTATTGTGGTTGTTGTTAAGTGCCGTCGAGTCATCTCCAATTCATAGCGACCCCTCCTTGGGTTTCTGAGGCGGTATCACTATGGAAGTAGATAGCCCAACCTTCCTTCCTAGGAGTGGCTGGTGGGTTTGAGCCACCAGAGCTCCTATAATAATGTGTAAACTCCCATATATATAAAAGGACTCTTCAGGCGTTCATTATTACCTAAAATTAGCAACAAACGGAAAGTATATCCTGGTGAGAGCACATTTGTATGTGCTACAATTCATGTGGTTATGTTTTTGCTGCCAACTCTGTTGTGTTCAAGATGAGATTGCATGCTCCTACTGAAAAATTTTCCAGAATTCAGTCTGCCTTTACAACTTTTTCACAATAAACTACTGTTAAAGCTGATTTTTTTCTTTCTTTTATTTAAATTCTGACATTAAGTCTCTTTGGACCTGAAATTATTCTGTTGTAATCGTGAGCATGTTACTTAGTTTGCCAATTTTATGAGAAATCCAGAGGCTTTTTTAATTTAACTTTTTACTTTATAATTCTCGCAGTCGTCATCTTGTTCCAATAAGACAGTCTCAGTAAAATGTCAGAACTCAAGTTTGCTGTTTTAAAAAAGACTTTAAATTATTATAGTTGGGATTCACAAATTGAAATTGTAAGTTGTGTTGATTTGAGGTATATATTTGTCTAAATGTAAAAAGGTGCCATAATCTAATCTGATTCCTGAGTTTGTCGTTTTGTATCTTAGAGTTAGAACTCTTTTTTACACAGTGTGTTCTGAGAGATATTTTAGGAAGTAATGAGTTTTATGTATATATATATGTATATTTAATAGAAGAAACTGAAATAGGAAACAGAAGTTTTAACTATATATGATTAGGAAGAATTTCCTATTCCACTTTTAGGTTATCTGATCATGCATTGGATAATACTCCATTATTTCAAAACACTTGTGTGATGTGTCACACGGACACTTGAGAACACTCTCTTTTTATTCTTGGCTATTTTGATTTTTAGCACTAATTTGTATTTTTGCATTACCTTAATTGTATTTCTACCAAGTTTTTTAAACATTGGATTTTGTTTTAAGTACAGTAGGCTTAGACATAGCGTCTCTCTTTTTGACAGATTTTGGTGACACATCTTTTACTGAAATGAATGTAAAACAGTTTAAAGTGATTATTAGGATGATTTGTGCTCAAGCAGATGGTTCTGTAAGTCCAAAACCATAAGCCTTGTATCTGATTTTATTTTAGCTTAAGAAACAGTTGGGTGATAATGAAGCTATTACTCAAGAAATAGTTGGTTCTGCTCATTTGGAAAATTATGCTTTGAAAATGTTTTTGTATGCAGACAATGAAGATCGTGCTGGGCGATTCCACAAGTAAGTAAAGAAAGAAGATGTAAGTTCAGTTACTTTATAGCCAAAATTATTACCCAGTTTTCTGTAGAACTTTTTCTGACTCCCTGATTAAAATTTAGATGTATTTTTTCCAAAATTATTTGTGCCTCAGAATGATTTTGGGTTATAAGTTCAATCACTTATTTTTAGCGAAAACAGCTGGAAGAAGTAGTTTGGGATGGATTTATTCTCACAGTAAATATACTTTATCTAATTAGCTATTCTTTCACATTAGTAAACTCTTAAGAGTTGACTTTTGCCAAAATCACAGCCTGGTTCAATGATGTTGACATAGTATTTCTCCCCACCAATTAATTACTGATTTTTTTTCCATTATAATAATTACATGCAAAGAAATGAGTTGTAGCTTGATAATATACTATACCTAAATTTTCTAAAATAAAAAGCTTACATTAATTACTTATTGTAGCATAGACTACTTTTGTAAACATTAGAATCTTTTTATAGCTGTATGAACAGCACCACCACAACAACATGACTGATTCTGCATTTTAATGTTTTTTCATTTAAACAAGACGAGCTCTCTTTTCTCTTCCAGAAACATGATCAAGTCCTTCTATACTGCAAGTCTTTTAATAGATGTCATAACAGTATTTGGAGAACTCACTGATGAAGTGAGTGCACATTCTTTATTGTCTTATTTGCTGAAAATCAGAAATGCTGCTGTTTATCAGTTTTGTTATTGCATTGTTTAGTAAGAGTGGCATCTTTGTTAGAAATATAATGCAAACCACAAATGTGATTTAAAATATTCCCATATTTAAAAAAGAAAAAGTGATTTTATTTTTAACTATATAATTTAATTGTTATACTAAGTTCTATAGATTCAGCATATATTTTATATCCTCGGCATTTGTGTGGTTACTGTATTGGATCGCACAGGTTTAGAGATTACTTTTATTAAGTGTTCAGACGTTGCCAGTCGTGTATAGTATTCAATTTCTATACTGTTAGTTGGTAACCAGAGCGGAGGTAGACTTTTCAGGACTGATTTTTCCTATTTCATTTTCAGTCAGAAGTATTATTATTTATGACTTGTTTCTGTTGTAACACTGTTGTTGCTATTATGTGCCGTTGAATTGGTTCCAACTCAGTTACCCTGTGTACCACAGAACGAAGCACTGCTCAGTCCTGCAGCATACTCCCAATCCTTGCTCTACTTGAGTGCGTTGTTGCAGCTGCTGTGTCATTCTAGCTTGTTGAGGATCTTCCTCTTTTTCACTGACACCCTCCTTTACCAAGCATGATACCCTTTTCCGGGGTCTGGCCCTCCTGATGAGGAGCTCTGGTGTTGTAGTGGTTAAGCATTTGACTGCTAACTGAAAGGTCAGTGATTGAAGCCCACCACCTACTCCAAGGAGAAAAGTGAGGCAGTCTGCTTCTGTAAAGATACACAACCTTGGAAGCCCAATGGGGTCACTGTGAGTCAGAATTGACTTGATGGCAGTGAGTTTGCTTTTTTAAGTTTGGCCCTCCTGATACATTGTTGTTGTTATGTGCTGTCAAGTTGTCCCCGACTCACAGTAACCTTATATACAACAGAACAAAACACCTCCTGGTCCTGAGCCATCTTTCTGGTAGATAACATGTCCAAAGTATGGGAGACGAAGCCTTGCCATCCTCACTTCTAAGGGGTATTCTTCTACACTTCTTCCAAGACAGCTGTGTTCATTATTTTGGCAGTCCAAGGTATATTCAATATTCTTCACCAACATCACATTTCAAAGGCATCAGTTCTTCAGTCTTCTTTATTTATTTTCCAGCTTTTGCATGCATACAAGGTGATTGAAAATACCATGCGTGGGTCATGCACTTCACTCCTCAAAGTGACATCTTTGCATGTTAACACTTTAAAGAGATCATATGCCACAGATTGGCCCAGTGCAATATGTTGTTTGATTTCCTGACTGCTGCCTCTATAGGCATTGATTGTGGATCTATGTAAAATGAAATCCTTGACTTGTCAGTATTTTCTCTGTTTATCATGATGCTGCTTATTGGTCCCATTACAAGGATTTTTGTTTTCTTTATGGTGAGGTATAATCCATACTGGAAACTGTAGTCTTTTATCGTTGTCAGTAAGTGCTTTGAGTCCTCTTCACTTTAAACAGGCAAGGTTCTTTCATCAGCATATTCCAAGTTGTTAATGACTCTTCTTCCAATCCTGATGCCATATACTTCTTTCATATAGTCCCAGCTTCTTGGATTATTTGCTCAGCATACAGATTGAGTAAGTATGGTGTAAGGATACAACCCTGACACACACCTTTCCTGATTTCACACCATGCAGTGTCCCCTTGTTCTGTATGAGTAAACTGCTTCTTGCATTATATATAGATTATACATGACTACAATTAAGTGTTCTGGAACTTCCATTCTTTGCAATGTTATCCATGATTTGTTATATTCCACACAGTTGAATGCCTTTGCATAGTCAGTAAAACACAGCTAAACATCTTTCTGGTATTCTCTTTCAGCCCGGGTCCACCTGACATCAGCATTGATAATCCTTCACTCCATGTCGTCTTCTAAATCAGCTTGACTTGCTGGCAGTTCGCTGTCTGTGTACTACTGCACCCATTTTTGAAATATCTTCAGCAAAATTTTACTTGCGTGGGACATTAATAATATTGTTCAATAATTTGAACATTCTGTTGTATCTCCTTTTTTGAAATGGGCATAAACGTGGATCTCTTACAGTCAACTGGCCAAGTAGCTGTTTTCCAAATTTCTTGGCATAACTAAGTGAGCACTTAAAGCGTTGCATCTCTTTTTTGAAATATCTCAATGAGTATTATTTCAGTTCCTGGAGCCTTGTTTTTCGCCAGTGCCTTCCTTGCAACTTGGGTGCTCTGGTGGCATAGTGCCTAAGGCATTTGACTGCTAACCAGAAGGCTAGCAGTTCAAAACCACCAGCCCCTCCTCAGAAGGAAGGTTGGGCAGTCTACTTCCATAGTGGTACTGCCTCAGAAACCCAAGGAGTGGTCGCTATGAGTCAGATCTGACTTGATGGCAGTGAGTTTTGTTTTGAGTTTTTCCTCGCAACTTGGACTTCTTTTTTCTGTACCATTGGTTCTTTATTCTATTGTTGTTGTTCTTGTTATGTGCCATCGAGTCGAACCCAACTCATAATGACCCCTCCTTGGGTTGCCAAGGCAATATCACTACAGAAGTAGATTGCCCAACCTTCCTTCCGAGGAGTGGCTGGTGGGTTTGAACCGCCAGCCTCTGGTTAGCAGTCAAGTGCCTTAGGCACTATGCTACCAGAGCTCCCTCTTTATTCTGTTATACCTCCTGAATTTGTTGAATGTTGACCAATTCTTTTTAGTACAGTGACTCTGTGTATTCCTTCCATCTTCTCTTGCTTGGTAGATCATTCTGTATTTCCCAAAGAATCCCTAAGTCTTGCAGCTTGAAGCTTGAATGTTTTCTTCAGTTCCTTCAGCCTGACTGAGAATTGCTCAGCATTGTGTTCTTTTTTTGATTTTCTAACTCTAGGTCTTGATCCATTTCATTATATTACTTTACTTTGTCTTCTCAAACCTCCCTTGAAATCTTCTGTTCATCTCATTTTACTTCATCATTTCTTCCTTTTGCATTGTTACTATTGTTAGGTGCTGTTGAGCTGACTCCATCTCATAGCAGCTGTGGACAACAGAACAAATCTCTGCCTGGTCCTGCTCCAGCCTCACAGTCCTTGCCATAACTGAGCCCATCATTGCAGCTACTGTGTCAGCCCATCTCATTGAATGCCTTCCCCTCTTTCGCTGATCTTCCACTTTACCAAGAATGAGATCCTTCTCCAGGGAATGGTCCCTTCTGACAGCATGACCAAAGTAGGTAAGACAAAGTCTGTCTACTCTTGCCTCCAAGGAGCATTCCAGCTGCACTTCTTCCAGGACAGATCTGTTAGTTCTTCTGGAAGTCCATGGTACGTTCAGTATTCTTTGCCAATACTACAACTCAAAATTGTCAACTCTTCTTTGGTCTTTCTTACTCGTTGTCTAGCTTTCACATGCATAAGAGGGGATTGAAAATACCATGGCTTGGCTTAGGTGCACCTTAGTCTTCAAAGAGACATCTTTGCTCTTCAACACTTTAAAGAGGTCTTTTGCAGCAGATTTGCCCAGTGCAATATGTTGTCTGATTTCTTCACTGCTGCTTCCACTGGTGTTGATTGTGGAACCAAGTAACAGGAAATCTCTGACAGCTTCGATCTTTTCTCCATTTATCATGATGGTGCTCATTGGTCTAGTCGTGAGGATTTTTGTTTACTTTATATTGAGATGTAACCAAACTGCAGACTGTTGTTGTTGTTGTTGTTGTTATGTGCTGTCGCATCGTCTCCAGCTCATGGCGACCTTGTGTGCAATGGACCGCAACACTGCCCAGTCCTGTGCCATCCTCACGGTCCCTACTATACCTGAGCCCATTGCTGCAGCCACCATGTCACTCTCTCATTGAAGGGCTTCCCCTCTTTTGCTGACCCTCCACTTTACCAAGCATGTCCTTCTCCAAGGACTGGTCCCTTCTGACAACATGACCAAAGCAGGTGAAATGAAGTCTGGCCGTTCTCACTGCCAAGGACCATCCTGGCTGCACTTCCAGGACAGATCTGTTAGTTCTTCTGGCAGTCCATGATACTTTCATTATTCTTTGCCAACACCGCAACTCAAAAGCACCAACTCTTCTTTGGTCTTCCTTATTCATTGTCCAACTCTCACATGTGTATGAGATGATTGAAAATACCATGGCTTGGATTAGGCACACCTTAGTCTTCAAAGAGACATGCTCTTCAGCACTTAAAAGAGGACTTTTACAGCATATATCCTCAGTACAATATGTCATCTGATTTCTTCACCACCGCTTCCATTGGTGAGTGTGGAACCAAGTAATATGAAATCTTTGACAACTTTGACCTTTTCTCCATTTATCATGATGCTGCTCATTGGTCCAGTTCTGAGGACTTTTGTTTTCTTAATTGTTGAGGTGTAATCCATACTGCAGACTGTAGTCTTTAATCTTCATCAGTCAGTGCTTCAAATCATCTTCACTTTTAGCAAGCAAAGTTGTGTCGTCTGCATATCGCAGGTTGTTAATGAATCTTGCTCCAACCCTGATGCCTTCTTCATATAGTCCAGCTTCTCAGATGATTTGCTCGCATACAGGTTGAATAAGTACGGTAAAAGGATACAACCCTGACATGCTCCCTTCCTGATTTGTAACCATGCACTGTCCCCTTGTTCTATTTGAACAACAGCCTCCTATGTACAGTTACCTCATGAGCACAATTACATATTCCGGCATTCCTATACTTCTCAATGTTATCCGTAATTTGTTAAGATCAACACAGTCAAATGCTTTTGCAGTCAATAAAAAAGTAAATATCTTTCTGATATCCTTTGTTTTCAGCAAAGATCTATCTGACATCATCATTGGTATCCCTTATTCCATGTCTGAATCCAACTTTCATTTTTGGAAGTCCCGGTCAATATACTGCTGCAACTGTTTTTTAATTATCTTCAGAAAATTTTACTTGCATTTGATATTAATGATGTTGTTGTTGTTAGGTGCTGTCGAGTTGGCGCTGACTCACAAAGACCCTCTATGCAAC